CCTCCCACAGATACAGTGAACTGTGGAATCAATACTTTGGTTAAAGTGCATTATATATGAACTGATTTTGTACTTACTTTAAATGTATAATGATGCAAAGCATTCCTTTTATTATTTTTTAAAATAACGATGTTTAATCTTTTATTAATAAGCACCTGAATTCCACATCTATCTTTCGAAGTCCTTCCATATTGCCATCACAAGTTTCTCTTCTAACTGCTTATTCTGCAGAGATCAAGACAATTTTCAATTTTCCTTTTTTAATGGCCTCCACACAAAAAAATCTGTTGTAGCAGCAGAAAAAAAAAATCTGGTGTAACACAGCCTCAGTGGAAGAAATGCTGGCACCCAAAAAAATTATTCATTGATCAGATAGTCCTTAATACAGTGTAAAGATACCCGATAATCCAGTTTGCAAAAGCCTGATTGGCTGCAACTCCAACGCACCTTTTTTCACTGGGGAATTCCTGGGTGTACGTGATAGTTCAGGGAGGTGTCTGAAGCCTCAATAGCAAAAAGCCCAGTCACCTATATAGACACTGCTGTTTCACTCTAAGTTGTCTCCACACAGGGTATCTAGACAACTCTTTGCCCACATCAGTCCAGTTCCCAGCCACCTCTAGCCAACAGATTTGTGCCACAGCAATACCGTCAACACAAACATGTTGGTTAATTCTTCTTGCAACTCTTTCACACCCCTCTGCTGTGTTACTCAGCCTGAAGAAACATGATCAGACAGAACCAGGACCTTTACTCCCAAAACCACCAGCCCAAGCCAGGCTGCCTCTGTAGTGGAAGGGCAATTAAGGAAAGGTAAGTCACACCTCGCTCTGAACCCTGGCACTCTCCACCCTTGGGAGCAAAAGGTAATAAAAACCTTAGCTGCTACTAAGGAGCCCTGCAAGCCTACACCTGACACTCACCCACACAGAGGTGTATCTTTCAGGACAGCATCTGAAAGGAATACTCTGCTTGCCAGCACGCAGCGGCGCGGATCAACCCCTACAAGAGAGGGGAAGGGGGAAAACCATACAACAGCCATGAGTTTTCTATAGCCAAGGCTCCCCAGTGTGGAGCAGGGAAGCAGATCTGCACGGCTGTTTTGGTTTTCTAAAATGCGCAGCTATGACAGCACCGGCCCATACAAAAAGCTTTTCTTCTCTCACCATTGTTTCTACCTATTTAGACCATTTCCACAGCTCCTAAATTAAAAGCCTAGAACAAAATTGTCTCTAATCCCTTCAAGGCAGGATGGAAGGGGAATGACTTAGGTTGCATCAAATCTAAGGAATGAAAACTTAACTTCAGCTACCACATCTAGGTCTCCACCTGTAACTGTGACCATACCTTTCATTTTAGGGACATGGTTTAGTCATGGACTCAGCAGTGTTAGGTTTACAGTGGGACTTGATGATCTTAAAGGTCTTTTCCAGCCTAAATGACTATCATTCTCACCAATTCCCCACCTGGCTGGTACCTCCTGTCATCTTACAATTTTTTTTTCAAGTTAAGCCCCTTCTCTTGAAGCACATCCTCCCCAGTTCACCATAAAACACACCCTTTCCACCCACCTGACTTCAGTCTCATTTCTTTAATATATTAACCACTGCTCTACTGCATGTATGCCCAAGAGGAACAGAGAGCATGGGGCAGCTTTTCTGACATGGAGATAAGAAACAATGGGAACACACCCACACACACCCCCCCGGAGGCTGTCTAATCTTTCCTTCCCGTAATATTCAGTGCAGAATTTCCCCTACCAAGTTTTTGCACCAAGTTGTTTGGATATAACACTGATGAATATGTTCACTTGTTCTTCCAAGTTCAGTTCAAGAGGCTTTAAAAGACACTCTGACCTGTTCTTCCACAGGTGACTGGGACAGAGGGGGAATCAGCCCATGCAAACCAGACGTTGAAGGCTGCATCTCTGATGCTGATCGCTGAAATCCAAATTCTCCTAGGGAGACAGAGACTTAATCCTAGGCTTTACAGTTTATATTGTAAATATGCTGAAAAGCTTCTCAATCTATTCCCCTCCCCATGCCTAAAATCTTGAACACTCCGATTTACGTATTGCACTTTTTCCCCATGAAAACCAAGTCCAGAATCAAGGTTTCGGGATTGTACGCCTGAATGCCAGCATTAAAAAGGAGTGACTTGCCACACTCTGTTTTCCATGAGCAGCAGGGTACGTAACACCTCTGAAGAGAGCCCCTTATTTAAGCTCCAAGATCTGTTTATAACTCAGGGAGCCTAAAACCACTGAGATCAGTAAGAATTTTGCTCTTAACTTCAGTGGAGCCCAATCAAGCCAAAAAGACAGAAGGGAACATAAGCTGAAATCCTACATTTTGCCACGTTCCCTGTTGAACACACTGTGGTTCTAGCAAATATCTACATAGGAAGCAGCAGTGAGCCCTTCCCTTCGCTCCAGAAGGTACAAGATGGAAACAACAGCAGTTAGGCAAGAGAATCAAATCTGGTCAGAGTTAAAAATACACCCATTAGTCCGTAGGGAGCTTACAACTCTCAGAAGAATCACATAAATGTATTACAATTTAAGCTGGATATTCAAGTGGCTAGATTTTTTTTTAAAACTGTTTTCAACTACGTCCTTTCTAGTAGAAGTAACTAGAAATTTGCATCGTGACTAAGTCCACATCAGGAAGTCATTCCAGTTCTTGTGATCTTCTGAGCAAAGAAAGGCTTTACTTTTTTTTTTTTTTTTTTTTCCCTAGCAGCACCCCTATGTTAAAAGAAATTGTTTCATGTATTTTAAAAAACTACTTCTTCAGCGTTGGGTCTATTTTTACACAACAAAATTAGTAACAGCTTTCTTAGTGTGAAACCACAAGCATACCAGATGAGGGTGGAAGAGAAATAACTTGACTAATAATATTATATAAGGAACATAAATGGGTTTATGGTCAACATGGGAGCTTTTCAGTCTGTTTTACAGCCATCACCTTGACAAATTCCCAAATCAAAATTTTAAGCAGAGCTCAGTGACTGAGTCACTAGTCTATATTTTAATAAGCACAAGTTTGATCCCTGGAGTATACTCAGCTGATAAAGGTTTGTGTTCTGCTCTGATCACTGCAATATTAAAAGCTGGACCTTGCTGTTTGTTTAAAGCAAATCTGCCATGTGACACAGATAAAACAACTATGAAACAAATACAGTGTTGTCAATTTATTTTCTATCCCTCTACCACCCCCAGTCTGGTGCAGGTACCAATGAACCACACATTGCCACCATGATTCCTACCCCAAATCCTGGAATCGGCCAAGGAGCACACCCCAAACGTGCCGCAGACCCAGAAACAAGGAGGAACTAATCCCACTGTTTTCATTTTTATTTTTATTCCTGGTTAAACATGAAAATGCCCAACGGATATCCAAAACTAACACAATAGGATGGTTGTATAGAATATCACAAACAAGACAGCAGGGCCTAAAACATTCTTCTGCTGGAGAATATAGTTACTACTCAAGTGCACAGTGCCAAAATATCCCACTTTAACGGCCAAGGAAAGCCCAGACAGCCAGATCTCCAGCATAAAAGATAACAACAACCTACTCTTCCTGGTCACCTGATCTCTAGGAAAGCAGACAGAACAAATGAATCATTTTGTAGTTTTATTATCCCCACCCCCACTTCTCACAAATGGACTATGACTCGCATTGAGATCTCAGTGCATTTCACAGCAAAAAAAAAAAAGTACAAGAGGATCAAAATAGTTGTGCATAAACCCAACTCTTTTTTTTTTGCACAATTTACAGTTTGTGTTGAAAGTTATCATGGTTATTTAAACCTTCTGATGCATTCTTACACTTATACCTTCTCTATGGAAAACATCTCACCAGATCACACAGTTGTGAGCTCTCACGATGCTGGATCGGGTGCACCATTGCCATGACTGGGAAGTGGCAGATAATGTTATATACACTGATTGGAAGACTACATCAGAAGAAAAAACAGATTAAGGCACCACTGTTGGAAAAATTAAGGTAGCTTGTAGTTACAACAATAACGAAAGCCATAATAAGTACTATTCTTAATTGCCAGCAATTCTTAGACTTCAATAAAATAGTTATAAAAAAAAAAAACCACAAAGGATGTTTGTACCTGAATACAGTTTCCTGATATCTGATTGTGTTTCAAATCAATACCCAGTCCTCAGCATAATCAGCTTTTTTTTTTTTTTATGGTAAGATGAAAAACCAGGACCTACAGTCCGTGTATTCACAGGTCACATTTCACTGCTTTGTTCTGAATAACACCACAGGAGAAAAACCAAAACAATCCAAAGGACAGTTTGTAACACTGATACTTCACCTCTGAGATGATTAGATGGGCAGAGAAATTTAAATACAAAATTGTACGTTTTCTGTTCATTTTGAAAGCCTTAGTCCTCGGGAAGGGAAGGTGGAGGAGGAAGGAAAAAAAAAAGGCCAAACCTCATTACTTTATAACATGAGAAAAATCAAAGTCACTCAGAGAGATTTAATAAAATTAGGAGTTGAAAAGTGTTCAAATTACTTTTCCAATTCAAGTCAATTATTTCAAGTATATTAAAATGTTTCAGAGGAAAAATTTCTCCATGGTTACAATTCTAATTGCTTTTATAAATCCATAAAAAAAAGAAAGGTAGTCTGTACATATTATCCCATATTCCTCCAATGCATGCATGTGTTCTCTCTGAAGAAAAAAGTCGTCATGATCCAGTTGTTTCTTAACACTGATTTCAGGCACATCTTCCAAACACCCCTCCAGTTTTCCCCAAAAAGGTTAATCACTGGGCATAAAAGTAGCAGTTTTTTCTTGCTGTTGTCTACATGGGTACTGAGCAGGTTTCCTTAAAGAGCTTGATGCAGATTCTGAAAAAAGTTCCCATGTCACTCCAAAATCCAACAGTTCCTTCTTCTCTTAGGCAGCTTTTGCAATCACATCTATTCAGAAGAATCTTACACAATTCAGATAAAATCTCTTGGATCATACAAAAAACAAGTTGGTTGAATGTACCTGGCAAGTTTGTCTCACAACTTTGATTTTTTTTTTTTTTAATCTTTTTTTAATAGCTTTAAAGTGCCCTAGTATTTTTTTTTCTTTATGCTCATTTAAACTTTCACAATTACATAAAAAGGGGACACTCAGTGTGATTACTGTGTTTTGAGAGACAGAGGAAAAGGAGAGGAAAATCAGAAAACTCATCTTAATGCAGCTTTTCTAGTTAGTGTCCGTTTGCTGAGTTTGCGCAGTCGAGACTGTTTTCCAGAGGGGTTTATGATAAACCCAGCCATCTCCCTACAATTTAAAGAGAAAATATGGTTATAATAAAGACACTGCTCCGGGAGGATTCCCTTCATACAACTATTAGACTGATAGCTGTGAAAACCAGAGGGACATAGCTTATACCTTTAACTCCCACAGATTAAAACACAGAGATCAACACTGCAGGCTTCTGAGACTACTTCAGAACATGTATGGACTCTTGCTGAGCCACAGCGCTCTCTGGGAATCGACTGCACTTGTAATTAACCCAGATGGAAAGCCACTCTTCTCAACTCCATGATCTAGATTACTTTAAAAAGCCAAATAAGAAGCCAGCAGACAGGCAGCTATCCAGGTTATCAGCTCTAACACAGCCCAACCGCTTACCTGGAAATGAAGTAGCTCAGGATTATGTTTAAACAGTTTCTGAGTAGATCTGTATCTCAGATTAGCAACATAATTTCACCTCTTCTAAATCTAGATACTAACAATACAAATATCTAAACCTTAGCTTTAAGAAGCTCAAGAGAGAACATAGCTTTAGAGAACAAAAAACTTTATTGATCTAACATATAGTCCTGAACTTTAAAACACAAAACCAGAAAAAAAAAAAAAAAAGAAAAACACTCCACCTTTTTAGCTTACGTTTTACATCCTTGCTAGACCACAGACATGGGAAGAAGGGGGAGTTACATTACTGCAGTTTAACAGATAAAGCTTTCACTACAAGGAGAATCTAAACTACTACACCATCAATTTTCATTGTGTCCTCCCCTCTTGCGTGGGGCTCAGCAAAGCTCTCTATACAAGCAGGGTCTCGTCATCTGGATCACAAGGAAAGCCTATTTCAAAGTTATCATACCAGCAGCCCCCAGTCTTCCTGGGCAGTCTGCAGTTCACCTTGTTAAAAGTCTTACTATATTATTATTACTACCATTATTGACATACAGGTTAAGCCATTGAACAAATAAGCTCCATCCAAAATGTAATGTACAAGAACACAAAAAGTTCTAAGTTGAGAATAAACTGATGTTCCTTCTTGCTAACAGTAATATCTTGGGTTCATATGCACACAGCATAAGCAAAATTAGTACTACTGATTATTTTCTTTGGGTATTTACTGTTACAGTCTACTTATACATGTACATGTAAAGCTGTTTTCCATGTGCCATGAGGAAGTGATTGGTAAAAGAGGCCGAACCACAAAACAGGCAAACACTGCAAAACCAAGGTGTCTGGGAAGTGAAGGGTAAAGTCACACTTTTACATGTTTGGCAGTACTTATGTCACCTTACTCCTATGGATCCCATTGAGATAAACTATAAGATCTAAGATACTCTATTCTGACAGGACACGGATCTGTATGTGCACCTGCTTTCATTGTAGCTCTGCCTCTGCCTTCATCAGCTAACTCCTTGGGAACTTACTTCTTTAAGGAAGTATTTAGTACACCAAGGTGTTTCTGTTTCAGCACGAAGCCTCTCTTCATTCCTCTGTCGTTCTTCAAGGGCTCGCTTGTGCTCCGTAGCCTTGTCAATGTCTCCATCCCGCAGAGACTCTGTTACATGCTGCCACAGCCTCCTACAAAACAAATTGTTAAATTCAGTGTTCAAACATTTTCTCAGCCTGCCACCCTGAACTACAGGATCGCCACGTGCAGTTCTTTCAGAACAGGAGCATGTCCTCCACTTACGCATGACAAACCAACCCAGGTCGGAGCACCATGGTGCAGCGCAGGTGGAAGAGCTCATGCCTGAGTCTTACAGCTACACTGGCAATTAGCAGTGGGTAGGTTTTGGCTGTGCCAGTCTAACGTCTGTTTGTACACCCTTTAAAGTTGCTATGGAAGCATTAGTCAACAAGCAGTTTCTTGTGAGGACCTCCCCTGTCAGGAGCTGCCCCACTGCAGCTGATGGTTAAAACCAAAACAAATAAGGAGGCTCTGTTCTAGTAGGCACTTTATGAACTCATAAGACAACTCTGTGAATAAAAGAGACAAGATAAACAACCATGTGTCTGCGCTTGTTTTTTGCACTTTTTATTATGTACTTGTTTTTTATTTTTTTTAAAAGAAAAAAAAAATTAAGATCACTGCTGCTAAGCACTATCCACAAACAATATCTACATTTGCAGGTTTTCTTAAGGCATTCACTAGACTGCTTAGGACAAAAAGGGTCAGACAATAATAAGCACATACTCTACCTAGATTCAAACGGTCCTTGTTTCTCAAGGGGCCGGACTCGTTTTCTTGTCACAGACAGCTTTGTCAAGTCCACATATTTTGTCTCTCCATTGCTGTAGGTGAACTCAAGCACACTGTTCCACTCCCCTTGCACTCTGCACACGACTGTGTTCGTTGCGTTCTGCTTCACTTCACCTGTGACTCTAGGAAAGCAATTTTTATTTTTAAAAGGCCATGGCTGAAGACACCTGAGGACTATTCATTGCATAATCACTCAACTTCACTCGGAACAAGTTTGCAAACTTGGCACACTCTCTTGAATAGTGTTAGTTACTTGAATTCTATTTGGACGGAGAAGCTCAAAGAGCAAAGTGACTTTCACTCATTGTTCTAGTTCTCTTCACGTTACCCAGGAAACTCCATTTTTGGCTTCAGCTTAAACTTGTTTCAAACCCTTTAACAGAACTGAAAATGAAAAAGAAACTAACACAGGATGGTTCACATGGAATAAGCAGTTGATTGTTCCTGCTTGAAACATCACATCAGATGTGTAGTTCAGACTTAAAAAATAAAAATTAAAACTTTCTACCAAGAATGTATCTCACTACCTGCTGGCACTTTATCTCACATCTTTACATCTCAATGTCCTCTATATGTAGGGGGTCTCATTTTTATGTTGCTCACATAAGCAGCAGACACAAAGGCAGAAAGCAAGGTAGGAAACTAGAAATCAGGAGAACTGCTCTTCTTTCCTGTCTCCTCCACAGAAACCTCTGCCAATAACAAGATGTTAAAAATGTCTTTATAGTATGCAATATTTCATTCAAAGTGTTGCACAGATGCTCAAGTATCACCATAATTATACACACCAATGTATATTTTTCTTCTCAACATCAAGACCTGTCTCCAAAGACCTCCCAACACTCACTTCATCCTGAATGAAGGAGTGGAAGCTTACTGAGCATAGCTAGGCAAACAAATTACCACCCTCAAACAGATGTTTTCTCCCAGAAAGAAGAAAGAAAAGGGTCTGCACACTATGCAAACGAGACTTGAGACATTCTCACTTGTAAGGTGCTGCAGGGTTCACAAAGGACACTATCTCCAGCTGCAATTAAACTGCAATTACCTTTACACAAGCTCTCTACAACACACCACTCTCCAGTTCCCCTTTCCGCAGTTCATCAGCGCTCACACAAAGCACGTTATATCTCCTTTCACACTTACATTATGTGCAGCTAATAATAGCAGACCACTGGTTTGCTGTTATTTCCTTTGAACAACTGCACACAGAGGAGCAGAAAGCAGCTCTTCTGTGCTCCTGCCTTGCCCACGCTGGCTGCGTGGTGCCATGCTCAGAGGAAGAAGGGAGTGCAGGACACGTAGATGCCACTTCCCCTCTTCCACATGCACCAGTCACTTCCAGCTGTGTCTCCATCTACCTTCCCCCCCGCAACCCAAGCCCTACATCAAAACAGAAAAATTAGTTTCGCAGGCAACAAAACGAGTATCATGGGCCAGACCTTCCAGCACAGAGATGCTGGCTGCCAGTCAAACCAGACCTGCGGGGAATGCCCAGGGCAAGCGGGGAAAGCTCGCAGCAGGCTCAGAGCAGGAGGCAGCAGCCACGGCTTCTGCCACATCTTGCGCGTGCGGGAGGAGTCACATCGCAGTCCAGCAGCTCAAACCCAATTTAACTTTATTAGAAAGATCTTCCGAAAAACCAGGCTGGTAAGTACGTGCTGCTCAGGCACAGTTTTCTATTACAAAAATTTGAGATTCATTCAAGAAAAGAGGCCAAAGTCGGAGCAATATGAGCACATTTACATTAAAGTATTGAGCTTTTTTTTTTTTTTTGTGGAAGTTAACAAACACTAATAGTTTCTGAAAACAACTGAAACAGAGTAGGAAAGAAGCAAGCAGCCTTCATTTTGTGCTGCTTCTTCATCCTGTAACATCACCAAAGCTATTACACATGGTGGAGTCCCTGTCCTCCTCCCAAGAGATCTCTGAACAGACTGAATCCACAGGATGCCAGACACCAGCCTGTTCGGACTGTGCAGTTACATCTTGACAAGTTTAAGAGCTTAATTTTTCCAAGCACTGTGTGGTTACAACACCATACTGACATCCAGTATTTTCATATCAATCACAAAATTACTATCTCTGCTCAGCTTCAAGTAAACAAAGTTCTATCGCTCACTACTAAGGTGCAGTATTGAGCTGTTACATTAAACTCATTGCAACCTATATTTCTTCAAATTGTATTGCTCTGTGACACACAACCGTTCCCAGTATTGCAGATCATAATATCTGTCTGAACTAGTATTAGTGATAAAAATCTGTTAGCATTTATTCGTAAGCTTGACATGATTGATATACGCCTAGCTCTTCGTTATCATCATCCTCTATTTCATCAAGCTAAAGAGGTACAGGACCAAGGAGCCAATATCCATCTGAGGTCTAACAACAAGGGTCACTCTACAAGAAAATCTATAACATTGCCATAGCAACTCACTTGCGCTCTGTGTAACCATGACAACACTGCTGCTTCCCCATCAAGAGACTCTTTTGGCAATGTCCAATCATCACCATGTCAAATTTTCAATAGTTACAGTACCTTGAGCAGATACGTCTTTACAAAGCCCCTACATCTATGACCAATTTCAGAGAGACAAATAACAAAACAGTTTCCAAAATTAAATCATTGAAGTAAAATTGCATCCTATTGCTTATTGTTTATGGCACAACAGGACCTATTGCAAGGCAGAAGATAGATTGTAAGCAATGGAAACAAAAATCCCAAATGATGCATCACTTTAAAATTCTGTCAAGTGAAACAGAGCTACATGTAAGCTTCAGTGCTCCAGATGCCATTGGGACAGGGGAGCTACGTTGCAAGTTAAATTCAAAGCATGTATGGGAATTTATGGGGCAAAGCGCTTCAAAATGGAGGTTTTGATGGGTTTTTTTTGTTTTCCTTTAGATAATAAATACAGCCTTACCCTGCTGTTTCAGGAAAAGTGATTTAGAGAAGACTGCTGATTTTTTGTAACCTGTGAGAGGTACTCGCATTTAAGAAGTTCTGATGTTCTAGGCTGTTACGTATTTCATTATTATCATCTCTCACACATTTAATCTAAGAAAGGTTTAAACAAGCACAGTCCAGTAAATGGCTGAGAGCAAAATGGTTTGGAATCAGATATTCTTTATGTGACTACTACTTAATTTTCTCCTTCCTTAATTGTCTCTATATTAGCACAAGGCTAATCTGCAGCAGTCTTACTACACAATCTCTAAAAACATCAATGTTAATGAGTTCTAAAAGCTTTTGCACCAAGCGTGCAGACGCTTCCTAGAACTGCTAGAAGTAACCCCAAGGAAATTTTCCCTGGATCTTTTCTTTTACCTGTTACTTTTTAACCATGCAAACACATGAAGCCACTATGACAGTTACCATTTTTGCCTTTGAAAAAAAAAAAAAAAAAAAAAAAAAAAGATATTTTTACCTAGAGATTTTCTAGGTGCTTAAACTTGATAGTCTTATGTTTCTTATACAGAAATCCTAAGACCAATAAGTAACAGAAGACTACTTGCTTATGTTCCCTAACAGTGCAACTACAATGCATGTTGCAAAGAACATGCAACCCTTTAAGACAGTGAGATCCACCTCATTTCAAACAAGGAGCAAATCAAAAAATAGGAAAAATTAACCAACTTCTGTCAGTAATAAGAGAACCTGTGGCAGCCAGGAATAAAAGCCAGGAGCTCTGTTTTCCCAGTGGTATGCACACAGAATCAGACAAACATGGAATTTCCTTACTGTCTTTAAAGGCAACCTGATTTTTCCATGAGGATCACATGGGATGCAGTTGTTTAGCTATGATATTGTTTAAGAGCACAGTAATAGCTTCAAATGTTTATGAACAGGAAAAACTATGTTTTCTCAGACTATCAAATGAGTATTATTCAGCACACAGAACAGGGGAGTTACACAGCTACTGCAGTTCTAGAGTGTGGATTACATGGAAAAATAGAAAAAGTGTTCTCACCGATGCAATTTGCCACCGTAGAAGGGCTTGGTGTGAAAGTTAATACTTGCAGAATACCCAGTCTTCGCACAATTAATGTTGACTTTTCCTCCCAGTTCTACCCAGGGAACAGTTAAAATTGACCGAGCATATGCACAGGGCAGAGAGAACGTGTATTCTTCCCCATGTTCCAAGAGACTTAAGAGACCTGTGTGAAGAAATACAAGAATCCCTAAAGACCAAACAAGTTATTGAAACAGATAGCCAATACTACATCTGACTACTTTTCCTCACAGCACCTCACACACACAAACACCCCCAAAAAATTGATTACGGATTCTAGATACAAACATTTTCCTGAAATGACTAACCTGAGTAACATGCATTTATACTTCTTTTGGGAAAATACATTAATCCTAATAATATTGCTCCATAAAGCACAACATTGTGCTGTGCAACATACTTTTCAGTAGTATGTAAAAGGGCTGGTCACCCTCTTATTGATGGTTCTGGAGCACAGCAACACAAGACTTATGCTGCCAAAAGGAAGAAATGAATCAATACCCTGAACTGCAGATCCTGAGGAAGGCTAATACTCCCGTTCTGTTTTCCCTCCCTATAATACATCCTACCCTATCTGAAGGCAGGTAGCAGAGACAACCCTCCCTACTGCACCTCTCTGCCAAGATAAACCCAACTCTTTCCTTGACAGTAGCTTTTGCAATAAATGTCAAGAATCTCATAAAAAACTAGAATTTTCTTAGGGTTTTAAGATGTGTGGGTTTTGTTTATTCCTATTAAAAAACCCACAAGATCTACCTCATGCCCTTACAAGCACATAGCATGACACCTGACTGCTGCCTACATCGACCCATGCCTCTGTAGTATGTTGTCACTCTGCATCTGACATAAGTATGAAAAACATGAGAAATTCTGAAGAGTTATGACATGATTTAAGAAATGCCCTAGAGGAGATATCAACTTCAAAAATTACCTGGTACAGCCAAAGCATCGAGATGTGCCTTCCACATCCCCTGCCATGCTCATTCCTCTGTCATGTACGCAGTTCACATGCAAGTGCCTGGAATCCCCAGTTACTGGGCAATATACACACGGAACACAGAATGGGAGATGCTGTCTCATCTCTTGCAGTAAATACTAGTACTAAAGGGAAATTACAGTTTAAGGGCAGTTACCCTTCTCTGTCCCTAAAGGATCCAATTTCTGTAGTTAAAATTAAAGCTTGCATAGTAAGATACATAACTGTAATATATGCAGATTGAACAACACTTCTATTTCATAAATGTCTGGTGCAAATTAGTCTGTCCGATGCTTGTAAACTGATATTTATGAATGTTTCCAATTACAGCAACTGCCCTTTGGTTTAAAAGTCAAAATTTTATTTCCAAATATAATCCTGATTTCTGGCAAAGCATAAACCTATCTAGGGGTCGTCTTCCCCACATGAAAACTTGCTGTTTATAATGAGGACTTGTAGTATCTTCTGTACTTCGTAAACAGTAAAGTAAGAAATCACAGAGTGACTGTACATTAAGGTTTACAGATCATAGAGACGAGAGGAAAAACAAAACTACGTGGGAAAAAAAAAAATTGGAAGACTCACAATAGCAGCTGACCATCTCTGCAAGCAAATTTTTTTTTAAAAGTCTTTGAAAGAAAACTACCAAGCAGTATTCATCTCTATTTCTGCCAGAGGCACGCAACATCAAATTTCCTCTCAAAGTAATACTTCAACAACTTTCTAAAATGAATAAAGGACAGAAGTTACACTTACCCTCACCAACCATTGTCACTCCTATTGACATTCCTAAGAATTTACTTTTTGTCCAGACGTGGGCATTGACACACATCTTTCTCTCTACACATTCAGCGTAAAACCCTGAGACAGGAGGATGGTGGGATACTTGCTCGGCTACAAATTTTACTGTATAGTAGTCCAGCTCTGTTTGGCCTTCCAGATCTTTAGACAGAGTTACTTGCTCTGAGGGGGAGTGAGCAGAGAAGTTACTGCCAGCATCAGTGGCTATGTCGCTCTTGGGCATCCTCCAGGAGCAGTGAAATGTTTCCCCAATGATTGGATTGTATGGTTTCTTTGCAATAGCTCCTTTGCGACCTTCGTGAAATGAAGTGAGATAATACTCAACAAAGCGGATCATCCTCTCCTCAGGAGTAGTGCCATTTGTGATTGCAATGAAGAGATCTGGATGGGACATGAAGTCCGCATACATCTCCAACAACGATCGCTTCTCTAAAATGAAAGTGGGAAGAACCACCTGAAATAAAAGAAAACCCGGAAAGCTCTCGTAAGTAAAACAAAGAGACAGGCATTTTTATAAGGGAAGTTCTCAGGTGGAAGATTCTGTCCTGTTTTGGACACCACACTTTCAGACTGAACTTTCTCATTCCTATTCTAAGGTGTGAGAAAAATACAGTCATCAGAGCTCCCAGAAAAGCAATTTACAAGGAGAAAAAAGCCCAATAAGTACTATTAGGACTAAAGAGGCTGAAAGGGACTACACATCCCTCAAAAAACATGAAAGAGCTGCAAAGAGATAATGTGGCCCACATGTCTGTGGAGGAGAAAACAAGCAGGAAGGAGCTCAAACTATAGCAAGAAAGGTTCAGGGCAGAGGTTAGGAAAGGTTTTGTCTAATAGAGAGAAAAGCAGGCAAGCTATGCTAGTGCTCTTGAGAGCCTGCAGAGTGTCTCTCACCACAGCAACCAGGACAAGCATCCATGAGAAATAACATAGTAGAGGTTGATCCTGTACCGCTGAGCAGAGGACCTTATACTTTCCCAGCTATATTCACCACCATAAAAAACAGCAGTCCTGTCCTTTGCTGGGCCAAGAGCAATACTGTAGAGTAAGAGGCTGTGGGTATCATCAGTCTTTTCCCTCCCCGTAGTGGCAACTAACCTTACGTAACTAACTCTATTGTAAAGAGCAACACAGGGTGTCTCACCCATGAGATCAAGACAGTGCATTTAAATCCGCTGCATTCAAAGAGGCAGCGCACAGACGTAAGACTCTTAAAAGATCTACAAGTTAAGCTGAATACACTGGCCATGTTGTTGCAACACCAACAAGGAATATTAAAGTTGCTTTTCACTTCAGTATGCTGATATTTAAGTTAAATGCGATTCTAACAACTTCATTACCTGTTTTGAAGTCAGGCTTGTCACATTTCAATGCTTTGCCTGCTCTGAACTAAAGACAATTCTACGCACACAGCCCAAAGTCACAAGTGGGAGACAGACTTGACAATTTGTTCCAACTAAGAGAAAGAGACAGACAAAATCCAATCCTCAGTATAAGTGAAATAATGATTTAATGAGTTCCTGATTAAGCAGCAGGGGTTTAAGTTTGGCCCACAGGCAGCAGGGCCTGTTCATGCCACCTTTTTTTTTTCTCCAAATTGCGAAATGTAAGCTCCACAATACAAGCGTTTCTAGTGGCCAAGTAGCTAGTGCTCAAAAAATATAGCTTGAAAAAAAAGAAAAAAAACAATTCTAATCCGTAACTCCAAGAAAGAGAGCGTTTTCCTCATTCCATGCCACCGTAAAATCCATTTTTTCTTTAAAAGTATCTAGTGCTTATGGTAAGAAGTCTTTACAGGAGTGAACTGAACATAAGCTGGTAGCAGCCCAATTTTCCCAGAGTTGCTGCTCAAGTTGACTAGCAGCAACTGAGCATTAATTTTTCAAAGCTGCTTGCTTTTGAGATCTGCACTGAACTGTCAAACCCACTTCTCTCCAGTATAACTTTGTTCCTTCTTGCTGTAACTGTGAGCAAACACAGAAATGAGAATAGGACACAGAGGCGTAAACAGACGTCTAAGGATAGATAATAAAGAACCAAAAGAAAACTTCTTTTCAGAAGCAGCATGAATACAGGTGTAGGGTTATGCGAGTTGTGTGTAAAAGCATTATCAAGTGAGAAAAGAGATCATGGAAGGAAAGCAGAAAGACAAAAATGAGAAGGCTGTAGAAAACAGCACGGAAAGAGTAAGGTGCAAACACAGTAAAAGAAAACAGGCCATTATAGGAAAGCCACAAAAACACAGTAGAAAACACAAAGAGAACGTAATAGAAAAGATACTGCCAGTTGCATTAAAGAAAATCCACTCCCTCAGCACGTCTCACTTAAAACCTGCAATGTCCTGGGACATCAGAGCTTGGGACCTGAAGTTGCTACAGGCCACAATTTCATATTAAACTCAGTATTGTTCGATACAGGAGTTGAGTTTAAAATGGCACTTCACTTTTACTGCAACCAGTTTTCACACTTCGGTTACTCACTCTTGTTAAGTCCATGCCAAGTTTCAGCTGAGATAAGAGATGCAAGATAACACTGCGCTGTTCTTCTACCGCTCCTAGATCATCTTCTTTATCATCACAGATATCCTCCAGCTCCTCATCTGGATTTATTTCTTCAGGTTCCTGGAATAAGATCCATGAACATCAGCTCAAAGATGTGACTGGCCAGACAATATCCAAAAAGGACTTCATATTGCATTTAACTGTCCACGTATGAAAAGACGACTAAACAAACCCCTGCACAGAGCTACGCAATGGAATCTACCCCCAAGATATACAACAGTTGAAGAATTTAAAGGGACATTAAGATAACTCAGTGCAGATTTCATCTAGAGGATTCAGGCTAAGATTTCTCACCATCTCTCACACAGGTCAGGGAAAAAAAAGCTTAAAAGCAAACATGACCTGTTTTCCTGTAAGTTTTGTGAGCTAACAGAATGGCAAGCACCTAACACATAGACACAGATAGCAAAGCAAATGCTAGCAGAAATTCCAGCCACCTCAATAACACCCCTCCACCTCCACACTGCTGCAGCCTTTCCAGTGTTGCCACCATTACTCCAAAGGCTGTAGCAAATGGTAGTTCCTAGTTACTTGCTTACTGTCATGCCCGATGACAAGCAAGGAAGATATCTACAGGCTCGTCTTCCCAAGCATTATCAGTGTTGCTGCTAGTGCCCATATGTAACAGTAAAGGAAAAGGAACTTGGAGTAGTTTTATAAAAACAACAACTAAAAAAACCACACATACACACCACACGTGCTGGTTGCCTGTTGGCATAACTAAAGCACGCGGACAGACTAGCAGGAATTATATTAGCACCATTTTAACAACCACCACCCCGCAACCAGAAAGCTGGCGGAAGGGATGGTGGTGTTCCTAGGGCTCTGAGCAGCATCCTCCTGTGGCAAACAGCTGGAGGGAGGCAGATGCAGAGGGGAGAGGCATGGAATGCCACAGGAGGGCAGCAATATGTGACTGCCCAAAGCCCTTTGCCCCGGACCAGCTGCCCCAGCTCAAGGCAAATTTGTGAACACTCAACCACCGAACATGGGGGGCCAAGTCCTCACACAGAGCTCCAACCCTGATGAAAACTGCAGTATCACACAGGTGACCCCTTTCCAAGGATGCTACGCTGTTCTGCTATCATAAATAAGGGAGCTGAAAACATCTAAAGGGAGTGATAAGACTAGTCATATCCCAAATACAGACAGTGACATACATTAAGCACTTGAACTGTAACTCAATTATTAGAAGGAGGAAGGAATTAAGTGATTTACTTGAAAGCTCCTGGTTTGTTTCATTTTTTCTTTTTTTAACTTAGTAGTAACTACTCAGATCCATTTAAAAATCTATAAACAATAGCAATTGAAAAAAATCTTTTCCATTTCAATTTTGCTACAAGATAGCACAGCACTTTGCAGAGACACACAACAGCACATTATCTTTTCACAATGATATAGTCTCATCCAAACAACTGTGTGAAACCAACCAGTATAAAAAAAAAAATGTAATTACAATTTTCTAGCTTAGTTAGGAAAGCATGTTCTTTATCGCAATCCCTGCTGATTTTTTACTTTAGTATTTTGCACTTTAAATCAATTTTGACAGTTATAATGATGCAGGCTATAGCTGTATTTCAAATACATTAAGCCATCCTGAAGTCAAGTGATAAGAGTTGCTCAGATTAAGAAAAAAACAGATGCAGCAAGAGCTAGAAGAGACAGGCAGGTAGATTTAATAGCCAGAGACCAGCAATTTTGTGTCTCATCTCCTTAGGCCCATTTTGAGAGCGTCATGAATTCCAGTTAGGTTTTTTGCACATCAATTTCCAGTTGTTTTAGATCAAAATGCAAGGGAATACTGCAACGACACCTGCATTACCGTCCCAGTTGGTTCCCTCCACTTGACAGCTACAGAAAGCAGAAAAAATTTATTGAAAAAGAAAGGTAGAAAGTTTCGTTTACTGCAACTGCCTTCACTCTTCCTCCAAACACAACTAATCAAAAAGTGTGAGAAGAATTGTCATTAAATCATTTTCACATAATATGATTGAAGCATTTACAGATATTCCTCAAAATAATTCCCAGCAGAAATGGGATGTTGACATTACCTTACCCTTGTTAGCTGGCAGGGCTCTGCAATGGACTGCTCTTCCCTGACAGATGCCGGCTTGTTTATCTCTGCTGGGAAATTCTGAGCTGCTCCATTTTTGAAGTGGTTTGCCAGAGATATCTTCGGTTCCAACCAACTGATCGTCGTTCCTGAAGCAAAAGAAAGTTTGCGCGGAAACTTGCTCATTCTCTGGAAGGTCAGTAAATAGCAGTTTTCACAAAAGAGCGATTTTTTAAGGAATAAGCTGAAAGCAGCCAATTCCTCCTGCAGCCAATCTCTTCAGCAGCCACTAAACAAAGGTGGTGCAATGAGACACCACCTTCAGTGATCATTAGCACAAACACTGCGATTGGCGAGCTGCAATACATGCAACTTGGACTGGAGAAACTAGTTGGTGTCATGAAAGGCGTAATCAGACACTACAGGAAGAACCCAGCATCACGGGAATGTTAAGGAACCTTTACAATTTTCTTTAACTGGTACCAAAAAAAAAGCCCACCACTCATCAGCTTCTCAAACCCAGCTCAGTTCTAGACTAAAAAAAAGAGCGAAAGCAGAAAAAGTTTTGTAGCCAGTGTCTTCTCTGGAGATGGTACTTGTCTTTTCTCTGCTGCAAAGGCGGCAAGCACACGCTGCTGAATAAATAATAATTGCTCAAAACAAAACAAAACAAAACAAACCCACTGCAGGGCTTGGAAAGCTATTACCCACTCAATGATTCCACCATCTCTAGTTACTCCCAGCTAATTTATCAGAACGGATCAGGTTCCTCATTAATAATACACACGTTCTGTTCTTTTTCAAAGGCTAATAAATGTACAGGTGACTTCAATCGGTTTTTACTGAAGAACACACAAACTGACAAACCATCTTGGCTGGGCTGCGAACACAGAAATTCTTAGGAAGTCTGAATTTCTACCACCACGCAGCAGTTTCCTGTGCTTAGGAACCTACACCGAGGCAGCTCTTGTCTCTTCCTGCACGATACACAATCCTTTATTTCCAGACGCCTGTTACCTGGAACTAGGTCACACCCTCAACCACAACAGGCAGAGTAAGCTTAATTCAGATGAACAGCAGCATTTCCACTGGGACAGTACTGGGGCAGGAAAAAAGTCCAACTTTACTAATGGGCCCAGACAACCTTTTCACCAGCAAGATAGTTTACTTTCATCAAGTCTATTACTCATTAATCCATTACATAGTGAGAAATGAGAATCCCTCAGTGGTTTAAGCTATTTAAAAGGAAGTTTCAAAATCAAAAAATAAGATGCTCAGAATGTCACTGTCATGCTTATCTTTTCGAAAAGGTTTTACTCATCTTTAAATCCTCTTCGTGAACAGCACCTGCTTTCTGAGCTATAACTTTCAAAACAATAATCTCTAATTGCATGTTCTAGGCTGCTTTTAATCCACACTCATGCCTCTATATTAGCTTGAATTTAACAAGTAGTATCCCTTTTATACTGCCTATCAGCTACTTCTAAAATAAACTTATTTATTATTAAGGTTATTTTATTTATTAACCTTATTTATTATTAGTTTAATTTTTGCTGTTAAATTCTAGGAGGTTTTTTTAAAGTGATTTGAGCTAGCAGTTGTGTTTTAATCTCTGCGAGTGGACAGGGTACCACACTGATCTTCCAGCTGAAGAGAAGTATTATATTCAAATCCGCTCTTGACTATTTCAGGTAGCACAAGCTACTCTCTTTACTTGTGATCTCCCTTCCCCTAAAAGTCTTCACCCATTTTTTTTAAACAGTTGTCAGCACTTCCCCTCTGCTACAACACAAACCTCTCAAAGTCTATAGTCTTTACTTTCAACATTTTTCTTCAAGAGCTGCAATTTGTTGTTGCAATTCACTTTTATGATAATGAGGTTTTTTGGTTTTTTTTTTTTTAATTCAGTGCATTATTTCACCACTTCTAACTTTTCCTAAATTCAAGTCAATAGCTGCAACTTTCCTGTTCATCTTTAAGTCTGTGATATACAGTATACTGTGATGCAGTTGGGGCAGTATTTTCACTCTTCTGGGGTTTTTTTCTTTGAACAATTTATAGCAAACTGACACTCTTACATAATCTCCAATCCTTGTTTTTTATGCCTGACAAGCACTTGCCCAAGACATTCTTAGCAGTGAAGTGCCACTTTAGCAGACCTGAAAATACTTTTTTTCCACTTCATGTTTAAATTTATGTTCTGTTAGACAAGCCTCCTCTTCATCATCACTTCTTGCTGCATCTCACTCGTATCTAGCTCAAGTATGCTGACCTGCCTTTATGATCCTAGGAAGATTAAATAGTGCTTGTATATATTTTATTAGATAGAACAGTCTGTGTTCAAGATTTTTTCCCCTGAATCATTTTATATTTTCCTACACATAAATATAGAAGTATCTCCTGCAGCATTTGAATTAAGCCACAACACTCTTCCTTTCTGTATCAACTTCTGAAGCCTACCAAAAAGACTCCACCTGTTGAACTAGAAGGATAAGTATGCCTCCGGAGTGGGGGGAAGAAATCTAAGCTAAATAGACTTCTTAAAAAAAAAAAAAAAAACAACCCAAAAAAAACCCTTCACAATCCTTGAAAGGAATAAATGTATTACAGTGTCTCTAGAAAAGCCATGCCAGTGGAAGAGTGGAAGACTGCAGAAAGGCACACACGTTCTTTTAATGGTCTGCTTTTAACTCTGGCACCAGTAATGCATCATCCAACCTTCTGCTCCTCCCCTCTCCATCCTTGTCTCTATGATATCACCAGAAATTTTCCAGATTTAGCCATCTTCAAGCAATGTTTTTAGATTTGGCCATTAACAGGCAGATACCAACTGAATAGTAGTCAGATGAATTGAGCTTTTCCCTGCATTGTTTAAAAATTTAAAAAACAACAATCAAAATAAAAAACCCTAACTTCTTCATAAGTTATTACAGTGGTGCTGATTGTGCCCTACTTATTTCCCCAGATACGCTAATGGGTCAAAAAAACCCACCTTAGTAGCACACATGCAAAAATACCAAAACAAAGACTTCTCATGTGCACCTCCCACATCAATAGTTATGCATCAATAGTTAAAAAATTTCACAGGGAATAGGAAGAGTTCTTTCCATGTGAGTAACTTTGGAGTTCCGACAAAGATCTGGAGAGGTGCCATGCAGGTTTTCATTTTTAAAATGAAATTTTGAACTGAAATACAGAAAAAAAAAAAAGTTAATTTGTCCTATTCACATATTCTCTTTTTATGCCTGTGGTGATTTAAAAATCACAAACTATTTTTATATAGTTTTAATACTTTTATACAACACCTTTTTTCATCTTAGAAGCTAAACTACAGCTCCGAAATAGTATGCTCTGGCAAAGCAACTACCACAAATATGATAGGAATACGGGAAAGATAAGATAAGAGACAATTTGTGAGTGTACCTTGTTACATACTTACCATATCTACCATATCTGTTGTATAAGAGAAGCACTTGAGAACCCTCAAAAGCTTTTTTGCTCACAAAAAGCCACAAAGTAAATACATGAAAAAAAAATCACAGTAAGATGCAAAAGAATTTACAAACAGGAAAGCACACATTCAGTTCCATAGGCTGCACACAAATTAGGTGGAATGCATGTTATTCCACACCCATTAGCAGTGGGGTTTGGGGTTTGTGGGGGTTTTTTTTGTTTGTTGGGGGGGTTGGTTGTTTATGAAAAGAGAGTTTTGTTTGTTTGTATACCTTTAACCAATCTGCATCTGTCTACCTTTAACCAATCTGCATTTGCTTACAAGTCTGTTCTGCCTCAGAATGGAATGCACCACTTACCTTAGCCCATGTTCTAGACTAGGATGGAAACCAAAATAAGAATACTGATATATAAACAGTATTAATAACCACCTGTGCAACTGTAAAGCTTTGTATTTTAATGCTTAACTAGAAATGAAAGCTACACACATGTAAGTGCTTACAATAGGTATTTAGAGTGTAAAAAAAGCATGACATTTGACACAGCTGTACTGGACACCACATATCCTAGAACCTGCAATCCCATAAAAGTCCCCTTCCACTATTACTGTTCCTGAGCAGCCAGTTACATCCCAAAGGCAGCCTTCTTGCTGTGGTGCCTTATGTACTTTATTCTGTTGCGAGATGCTCCCAACAATTAAATGTTACATTTATACAGCTGCTGCCTGAGACTTCTTGATAGAATAGAGAAGACAATTAAAAAAAAAAAAATACAATACACACATGAGTTCTACCCAACACTAGCAATTCAGACTCTAGGAAAAACTCACAAGAAACTAGGCAGCCAGCAGTTTTCTCTATCCACGTGAAACTGGATTTACTGCAACAAGTACTTTTGCAAGAAAGAAAGGATTTGTATTTGTTGCAGGGTTCTGCTCTTTGTGAGCATCTATACCCACCTGCTGGTAAGGATCCCTTTTGTTGAGAAGCATGTTGTAACTGGAGAATATGGAAACAGTCATTTAAGCAGTTCATGGTTGCCATGGAAGTTGCTTTCAGCATTAATAGGTCTTGATCCAAGGATGTAAGGTGACCGGAGACAGGAAGGCATTCTATGCTCCTTATCAAGTCTCTCTGCTGGCCCTCAGCTTGAGACATCATCTGTCAAACAAAACAGTCACTTATCAGGTAATGGAAGTGTGTTGTGTGGTACATGTTTAGCTGTGCCCACAGAGGATCCCAAATGATTTTATGACGATAATAAAACTAAAAGCTAATAGATTATGTATAATTTACTGTACTTTTTTTTTCCTTGATGCAGCTACTACAGAGTCATTGAATGCATGATGAAATTCCCACGGCGATACATGGCACCTTATTAACAAGCAAAAGAATATCAAAGTGACTTCAAAAAAAAAAAAGCAAAGAGAAATTTGAACGTGATACTTGCTGCAGTAATTATCAAACACTTTCATGCTTGGTTGATAGGGATGGGGGGAAAACACCCCACACACTCTGTGTGAGGAGTAATTAAGCTCTGTGCTCTACACAGCCTGGAAGAGGATCTATGAGGTACTATTTGTGGGTATCAAGATCTTTTCACTCCCTGTGATAAGAGATCCAGCACTTTAAAGGAAACGACCTGTATCACTCAGTTCGGCTCAAACCATACAGGATTCTCCTTTATTGTCTGCACTGCCACCACACTTAGGATCACTATCTCACTGTTTACTTTGCAGAGGAGGAAGAAAAAGCAGCAGGATTTTCCCCTTCGTTATTTGTTCAAATTACGACTTTCCTGGTGTCATTGTCCCCCTTCTTCTCCCCCAAGCTCCCTTCCTCCTTCCTTCTGACACAGAGTGCCCCTACATCACAGAACCTGCAACAGCACATGTGCCCACGAGAGGTATAGCGGCAAAGCACACCAGCCAGCAGCACACCGTGGTCTTCCAAAAACCCACGTACTTTCCTCCTTGTACTCACAGAAGCAAAATATGGTCTGAGTTTCAATCACGGGCATGAAGGCAAACTTCTATACAGGCTAGTCCCTTTTCTGGGGAGGTACAACAAAAGGCATTAATGTAACTGGATAGCACTACGCTGCGATCATTATGTGTGCTGGCAGTTAAGTTAAATGTAAGAACAGATTGATTTAGCAGAGCAGAAGAATAATTTCTTTAAAGAATCTGAGATGCATTTATGCGTTTAACTGCTATGGCACCACTTATTTTTTTAATTCACCAATCCTAGCAGCATCTTTCTGATTTTTTTTTTTTTTTTTTTTGTAAGTACCTTTGCCTGCAATCCCTTCCAGGAACTGCTTTTAAGGTTTTATGCAGTAAATACTTAGGCAATATGTATTCATCCAAGTTCATGGTATGTGGTATTTGGAACATTTTAGGGCTTGGCTACATAGCATGCCATGGTGTGAATTTACAGAGCATTGGCTCTTTGGAAGTGGAGTTAACTGGGCACAGTCAGCCCTAGTATGTCCCAGGAATGACAGGGCAGAAAGCTGGTAAAACACTTAGTTATATAGCCTTGCCTATGCAAACACATCAGTTGCTATCAGAACATGTGTTTTATTTTCTTTCAGTCATGAATGCGACGTGAGTCTGTGTGCAAATTTTTTCCAATACTTTGAAAAACTCTACTGGATTAAAAAAACCAAAAAAAACCCAAAGAGACACAGATAACTGACAAATCACTACAGCCCTTCTGGTGATCTTCACTCTTAGTAATTTACTACGTGGCAGCACCCAAGCACCTCACTCCAGGATCAGGCCAGACCACAGGACAAGTCAAATTATACTGAGCATTGAAGTTCAAATAGGCACATCTCCCCTATGATGAACATACTTTAAACAGTCCTAAGTTATTCCTGCTTATATACTTAGACTTGTACCAAAAAAAAAAAAAAAAAAAATTAGTGCCAGGGGAGGAAAAAGCACCATGACTAAAAACTCAAAGTCTATCAAAGTACACAGACTATAGTTCTCACTTTGCAAACACACATGGACCTGCGTTTAGTGCAGATCAGCGTAAAGACCCTCTTAGATCTCCTTTCTGCAGGGCATCCAAGTCAGCAGCATGACATGTATTTGGTCAAGAACAAGGGGAAGTAGAAGAGAAAGGGACTGACAGAAGAACCAGCTACAGTGCAATTCACAGGAAAATAAAAAAAAAATCACCACGCAGCAGATCCTTTGAAAGAGAAGCTGTTCTTCCCACAGCTTCTCAAACTGAATTTACATGTATTCAAGCTGTATTATACTCAAGTGGAACAGGCAGGCATCTGCCCTTTAAGTATTTTAACTATATCAAAAAAAAAAAAAAGGCATTGTATGTAACAAGCATTTTAGCTTCAAAAACGTAAGCAAACTGACTTCAACACTCAGAAAACCTACCATTAATGAGGATTTGTCATCTGAGCAGACCAAAAATTTTCAAGTTGGTAACTAATCATGCTGTGTCACCAGACTCAACAATCAAAAGAGAACATGAATAGTTTTCTGTGCTCTTTGCAATGCTAAGAAAAACCATTCCACTCTATTTCCCACCCAGTAAGAATCCCAATTACAGGATGCAAGCCACTGCTTCAGTACTCCAGCTCACACACTCTCCTCCCTGAAATTTTGAACGCCATATGGCCATTTGAAAAGTCAAAAAGTTAAAAAGCCATTTCTGAAACATTACCTCACATAAACAGGATAGCTTCTCAAATACCAAAATACAACAGATAAAAGAAAGAAAAACTGCTAAGAGAGCTATAAGCAAGAATTCTGTAAATATTAAATGCCATATTCTGTATTGTTGCTGCTTTCATGCAATAGGTGGGAAAGTGCAAATACTATTTAAAAGTTTATCGTATGTTGTAACTGTTGTACCACACTAGTAAGAAGATTATCACAAGTAAGAGGCAGCTTGATGAATCAAACTGAAAGGCAACTACCTGTATAGCTTCAGTTTGAAAATTTATTTGGAAGAAAAACTTCTCTTTTGGAGGATAAAGCAGATGAACCAGCTCATAAAAAATAGAAACCACAGAATGCCAGCTGAGGTTTTCCTGGGTACCTGACAGGACTTCACATGTCTTTGCATTAGCACTATAGGAGATTTCACTGTTATTAGACGATATATAAACAGGATGCAGCAGTTACCCTATTGCAAGACATCTGCAACAGACTGCTGTGGACAGAGAAATTCACAGATTCTAAGGTCTAAAGAGGCAGTCACCTTGTCTAGCTTACTGAATAATTATGCCACAGCATTCGATTTAAATCAAGGAACGATGGCGAAGGCAGCATACCATACCAGAGAAAGTGTTTTCAATACCCATTTACAGCTTCCCACCGATGAACTTACCACAATGTTCAGCCACATATTTTAAGGTTAATGACACTCACAATACAGAGCACTCTTCTGTCCCAGTTTGTCTAAGTTCAATTTCTAACTATTCACACTTCCCAGATCCTTATTGGCTAAAATAAAAAGGCCCCCATTAGAAACTTATTTTTGCCAAGAGATGTATCACACTACACTAATTACACTGCTAACATTAAAATATTCATTAATATCAATGCTACTAAGTAACACAGATTTGTAAATCAGCAACAAATGGAAAGATGGAAAGGTAATTATTTCTGTTTTTTTCCAAAATACACTGCACCTGACTGCGCAGTGAAAAAAGCATAATTCTGAATTTTTATTTTATATATAATATATCATCTTATTTTGCTCTCTTTTCAATCACATCTATCCCTAAACAATTTGTCCACATGAATTAGCATACCAGAAAGTGGTATTAGTATTCTTAAACATCAATCATGACCAACTGCTCCTTAGTCACGGGAGATACAAGTACAACTTAGTTAATTCTTTTATAGCTTGACATGGGAAGAAAACAGTGTATGATATAATAGTACCATAGTATGGATGTTATAATTCCTTAAGGATATTCCCTTGCCACTTGTAGCGCTAGGACTTGCAAGGATGAGCACATGCAACATTCTACCTTGAGCATCAGGATATTACTGCGGAGTACAAAAGTCATAGAATATACACTACATACTTGTACAGTTAGCCAAGGCAAGTTACTTACCCTCACGCAGCTACGCAATAATAGCTTAGGACATGGCATTGACAATACATCCAACTAAGACTAGCAGGTTTGTCCACAATCCTACAAATAATAGGACAGCTCTTTCAAAAGATTGTAAGATAATTTAAAGCATACAAACCTCTCTAACATCTACAAGGTGATCTGGCTGCATAATAGGAACTCTTTTTCCAGTTGGCAATCTGTGATGTCCAACATTGAAAAAGGAAACTGCATTTTGACTGGGTCTTCTTTGCACACCAGGAGAGTTGGCACTTCCTTGGGATGCAAGAGAGAAGCTGCGAGATTTCAGAGGAGGGTTGTTCTAGTGAATAAATAAGCATATTGAGAAACATTTAGAATTAATTCCCTAATAACCAGCAAATATTCTAATTTGAAAGATACAGCAGAACATTTAATCCTTGATTTTTTATAGAGCAAAGGCAGATGACAAAGCCCTAATAATGTATTAGTAGCAACTGCTAAATAAATATTTTGCACTATCTGCTGACAGTTGCCCCGTTTTATAGTCTAATCTGTGAAATGAGATTGATCAATATGTATCACTTCTCTGACTTGAAAATTAGTCCTTGATTTGCAACAGTACTAGAAACTGACTCCTAATAGATCCTGCAAGGATAGAGCTCACATTTAAGAGAACGAGATTTCATTTAGAACTATTCATTGGATTTATCTCTTACAACAAAGCCAGCTACAAGATCGTGATCTTATCTTAAAAGCAAGGTTTTATTCAGGCATCAGAATAGGTGTTACGCTAATCTGGAGGTTCTATAAAATACACTATATTCACAACCACCACATGGTTAGCCAGTGGAAGCAACAACCCTCAGATATAGTGCTGGACTTGCTGCTCAAACATGGGAATTCATCCTAAATGTATTTGTGGGCTGTTGAGTGGTTTTTAAAAAAAGGTCAAAATAAAAGGAAAGCTCCCAAAACGGAAGGGCTTCAATAACACTGAAGACCTGTTTTCTTATCCATTAAAAAAACCCTGCAAAACCACTGGAAAATATGGGGCTAATACTCTGATCTTTCAGCTCTGCCTCCTGTTCAAACACCAGCTGACCAGTACCTGCTCAGGGAGGACCATTCAGCTCTTCAGAGGCAAACTGACTTCACTTTGTGTCATTCGTAAAGCATATTTTATTATGAGCTAGCTATTACTCAGAAAAGTGTTTCTTGATGTGTCAAGCCCAACCACAGGCCCTTTTGTAGCATTTGTCTTAGATAACAGGATAGTTGTATTTGCAACTACTTCTACTACCAGCCTAAATTATTTTTTCCCTTCGAAAAATCAGTCATACAATACCTTTCCAATAGCTTCCGTGTGATGCTGTGTGCATATCTGTAGCCTGCTAACCCAGTGTTGCCGTTCTTTAGCATCAGTAGCTAATAAAAGCAAACCAAAATGATTATGTGTATGAAGACATTTTGAAGTATTGGCAAAAGGCTGCTTAATTCTTTAAAACAGACTGAAGACTTTAACAGTACAAAGTTTGTGGTTTTTTTTTTCCCTAAAACTTGTTCAGCTGACCAGTAATTAGGTATAACATTGAATAAAGTTCAACATAAATGGCATGTACTTTTTTTTTTTTTTAATTTTGTAACACAGAAATAACTTCAACAAACAGTAACTCCCCTCACGCACATTTGAATCTAAAAACATGACACGTTTTCCTGGAATTAGAGTAAGGTACCCTAAATTAGATAATGATAGCAAGTCTTCAAGGGAAGAAATACTATATTAGCCTAGATTTCCACAGCCTGCAAAATCAGAGAATGGGCTTCTATAACCATCACAGGAGAGCTAACATAGTGAACATTAGGAATAATGTAGTTCCGTGCAAGCATCAAGACAGTACTGTTACCTACAACGATTTAGAAAATGCCGAATCAGTACAGTTTAAGGACACTATATGTGAAGATTAAACCCCATTCTACACATCTTAAGTTCACAGCCTTCTGCAAGTCATCAGACCCAAAGAGTACGGAACCGTCCATAAAGAAGGACGGCTCCTAACTGAAGAGTGGGATGCACGTTTCACATACAGCTCTCATTGCAGCAGCCTGCCAAAGAAGTTCTCCCGCTTTGGCGGCACAGCCAAGCCCAGCAGAGGAGCCAGAGGTGAGGGCCAGGAGCGTCCTCTGGTGGGAGAATCCCCTGTCCAAAAATTGGGGTCCTACCTCTCAGTTTGTACTGCTCCCCGCTGGCAGCGTTCACCGTAAAGGTGTGAGAGTCTTCATCACTGGGTGAAATTACAGCTCCAGCTAGCTGCAGGGTACCCCTGGGCTTCAGATGTCTCGACTGCTCATTCACAAAGTACTCCAGCAGGCCAGCATCATTGTTTAAAACAAAAAATCTGCAACGATAAAAAAGCAAATACACTAAATGAAATCAGCTCACTCTTTTCCATTTTTCTTTTTTTT